TTCAGAGAAGTAAATRCAATAACGTGCAGCCACATTAGAGCTATAGACAGCTGCTTGCTGARCTTCAAGAGATGGAGTTCTGGTTTAATTTGTCTGAGCCTCCTAATGACAAACTTTCTTTGCTCACTTTCAGTTTTTATCTCAAGGACTGGTAACAGCAAAAGAAACTAACACAACAATAAAACCCCAAACCAAACAGGCTTTCAACATTATTTTAACTCYCCAAACAAGAGAAAAAAAGCAAATCAAAGCACAACTGTTACTGCTCATAGAGGAGCACTAGATCTCAGTGYACCCAGGCTGCTGGCAGTGCTGTGCAGTGCTTTGTCACCACACAGCTTGGCCACTTGAGCTAACACTTTCTAAAAGCCACTCCCAGTCRGCAGTAGACAGCTCCAGGTACAGGGATTGATGTCGAGTTTGGTATAGTGCCTGGTAGAAAAAGGAACTCCTGGAGAGTTCCATAGACAAAAGCCCATTACCTGCTCTGAGTGTTACTGCAATTCCTTAAGTAAATCAACAAAGCCCAATAGGATTAAAGGGAGACCTTGAGGAAGACATTTCGGTCTCCAAGAAATATTTCTAAAACCTAACCTTTGACAAAACAGTTTTGCTCCTAGTGAAAATTCAGCRATTAACAACAGAAGAGTGTATGAACATATTTGTTACTTATAAAAACACCTCCTCACCCCTCATCCCAGCCAGAAGCTCTGAAATGGCCATAATATTGCAATAAACATCTCAATGTGAATCAGTGATGCTATCAACAGGTGAAAGGACATGCTGTGGACAGTTAGGGAGTAAGACCTGCTAGACAGGCATCATGCATACAGACATCACCCRATTCCACATCTTCTGCCCTGAAAATAAAATATAACACATAATCTAATTCTCAGTGTAATTAAAGACAACAAACCTATTATTTACATTTACTAATCCAAATTGTAAGATGTTTGATCAACAGCCTCCAGAACTGTAGTATTTTTTTCCTGCAAGGGTTTCCTAGTGCTTAGCCTGCAGCTGTTAGCATTGGATTTCAAGACACACTATGCTAAACTGTAGTAGGCATGTGAAAGGACTTTCATTCCTCATTAGCCGCGCATAAGAAAGGATTGTAACTTTTAAAAAGAACTAAGCAGCTTTGTAAAAAACTTGAATTTCGCTCTAACAAAAATCATACTTGTTAAAACTTTTTTTTTATTCCCAGCTGAACTATGCTTCAACTCAAAGCAAATAAAGTCATCAGTTGACTCCATTCTATTAGAGGACAGCATTTAGAGAGAGAGAGGGGAAAAAAGGAAATAAAAAAAAGAGTCCAATAGGTCTTTGAACAGTGGTCCCTTGTCTGTCACATCAAGACATGGCTTCTACTTCACACACTATTGACCATGAAAAGCAATCTTGCGACTTTTGAAGCCCCATCACAAAAAAAAAAAAAAAAAGAGTGCGAGAGAAAACTTTTCTTAAAATGTCAAGGATGGGGGCCTGACTGCTCTCATCTCCTATGATTAATGACTTGTGGCCTTATTGTGTAGGGGCTGCTAATTAGCTTCAGACTGATTAAGGCTGCAGAATGCAAAATTCAGCTTGATAAACCTGGACAGCCTCTGCCCCCCACCTCAAACAAGCCTGGTGCAGAAACTCTGGCATCTAGTTTTRTCATAAAAACACTCTCATTGGAACTAATGTAATCCCAAGCGACTCAGGGATTCACCTACTAGCAACTTCAACAGCAGTGTTTTTTCTKTATAATTATTTTTCAGTCCTGTCCGAGCTATCTGCTTCTTATCTAAAAACTTACCTTGCACTTTGAGTAAGCAGACATCATATGCTAACAAACCTTATTCAAGATCATTTAAAATTCAGTTCAAAAGTAAAACAAAAGAGCAGGAGGATACTTTTAATCTTCCATTATCCACTTACTAACAAATGAGAGCAAGTTCATTAAAATGCTTCTAAAAATTTGCACATGGCCTTCTCGGATATTCTTTATAGACGCGTTTAAAAACAGAGCAAAAAAGTAGCAGTTCCTAAATTGTTATTGCCTAACATTCTGACCACCTGCTTTACTGGAATACATGCTGAACCCTTTATTTGGAAATAATCACTTGCCATAGCTATAGAGGTGAAAGTCTAGTACACAGGGAGTTTCAATCCTTTCTGCCATGAGCCCCCTCCTTCTCTCCTCCCAGTCTTGGATTAAATCTGCTTGTTAAATTGATCTTCACATGGAAAAGCATTACATTCCACTAACACAGGAAGGTTGCAAATAGTTATGCCAGATTTTTAACACTAACCTCATCAAACTGATGCACTACAACATAAGGCTGATTAGCTTAATAACTGATTACTCATCCTCTGGGCAATAGCAACCAAAATTAGAAACTTTAGCAGCTCATATAATAAGGTAATATGAGCTTGTTTTTTCAGAYACCTACAGTTCCAAGAGGGAAGAGAAAAACGTAATGTTTCTAGGCTAGTACTAAGAGGGAAAGTTTCTTGGTTTTGGTGGAATGGATTGAAATGCTAATAATTTCCTCTTACTGAATAATACCTAGATAAAAGGACCATGTAAATACCTGTGCACAAAGATAAATTAACCAAATGATCATAGTTGAATTGTTTTTAATTTCAAATATATACAAGTTTGAACTCCCTCAATACACGAGCTGCTTGAATTCAAGAGGCTTCCTGTCATACTCCAGGTTTCCCAGAGCATCCTTCACTTGTGCCACCCATCTTGCATTGCTCTACACCCACAGGGCACCTGTTACACCAGGTACTGCATGCTGTGAAGTGAAAAGACAGTTGTGCCTCAAAAGAGTAAGTTCCAGTATTGCAAAAATACTTCCACATGAGTAACTGTAGCYGGCCTTGCCAACAGGAGAGTTTGTAGGAGTAGTGCTAAATTTATGATGAAAGACAACAGGTGGCCATTGGAAATAGTAACTTAAGGGACCATGATATGACTGCAAGAGGTAATGCAGGGAAAAGGGCAGCATCCACAGCCGCTTTCAGGTCCTCAACAGGAAGCCTAAATTTATGCCTAACTTGAAGCATGCAAGCAATCCCTTTGAAGCCAGTAGTAACCAGATTTTTAAGCACTTGTGTGTCTATGCATTTATTTTTACTGTAATTATACAGAATATACACTGTGTGGGGTRAACACTAACAGACCAACCTCAGCATTCTGAAAGGTAACACACTTCCTCCAGCATCAATATTCCAGCTCAAGAACTGGGATTTAACTTATTGTTTATAAGCATTTTTCTATGCCCTACCCTGTTTCTTTTTTGCCTTGTTTTGCTTTCAGCAAGGCTCTTTGTAGTGTCATAACTCAYGATCTTTCTAGTCAGACTTTGTTTGTAAAACCTCTATTGTTCCAGAACAATGGAGTTGTGACCTGTTTGAAGGCAGGACTGCAATCAGGGCCCTCTCCGTACTTTCTCAGGGTGCACTTTGTGACAGAGTGAATAGACCACACAACCCTATTGATGTCAGCCAGGAGGGGAAAAATAGGCTCCCTCAATAAATCTCAACATAAATCTTCTTGCCCTATCTCACCATCTGTATGAATTCACCTAAAGCACAAAATTAATAAGAAGAATGAGTATTCCCAAGCCTACAAGATTGAAATACTGCTTGCAGCCCAAAATGGATTTGTTTCATACTTAGGACTGTTTGGGGGAATTCACATGCATAGAAAGCAACAGGTGGAAAGATAGCTTGGGCCAAGACAAAGTGAATGAGATTGACCCTAGCATCATGAATATGCTTCAGTCTTCTGTGTCAGCTCCCTGCTATAAATTTACTCAGCGTCAGGTTTGTGGCTTCTGTTGCTTTCTATCACTGTTGACTTTGGTCTTCTAATTTTGCCTCCAATGTTACAGAACAATTATCAACTCAACACCACTATCAACAATGMAACAGCCATAACTTTTTGCCTTATTTGAAAATGCTGCATTCTGTATTTCTGGTTTTGAAGGTCAGGTAAGGGTTGCTTAGAAGAGCTTGAGAATGACCATGGCCCTTTTAAAATATACTTCTAGTCACTCATCAGTGGCATTCGCCCTCACTCAGCTTTACATACTTTTTGTGCACATGTAAAGAACATAAAGTAAGATAGTCAAAAAAATCATTGCAGAAAGGAGAAGTAAARAGAAGGGTTTTCCTTAACTTCAGTGGAAAAAGCCTTCATCTATTGCCTAAGTGTATTCTAGCCAGTTAAAACGCGTGCATTCAATAAAAATTTTCATTACCATTCATGAAAAAAAAAAGAAAAAAAGCCAGAGCAAGCACTAAAACAAGCAAACAAATAGAGCCTCCAATTTAATTGCATAAGTGTTTGTGGGAAAACTGAAAGAACTTCAGAGCAGTGCTACCTTTTTGTCCAGTGTCAATACAGCTTCTAGCACAGCAGGGTTCCAGATTGCGACCAATTCTTTCAGGCAGTGCTGCATTGAGCAAYAGCATAAAGCCAGCTAAAGCCAAGTTATTTCTAAATTTGAATTATTATTTATATTTTTAAGCATTCACTCCATTTTGACAGCAATAAAATCCTTCTATAATGTCTTCCATCTGAGGAGAGCATATCAAAGTGCTTTGCAACAAGTTACTGGTTACAACGTGAAAAAGAAATTAAATTGTTATAATGGAAAGCAAAAGATCCCATCTCAGTCAAGTCCTGCTAGAGGGAGAATACTACTGCAAATTCATCAGGACTAACAGAATGACAAAAAAAAAGTTATAATTCTGCTGAGACAAGACAYATTTACCACATATAGTCTTTTATAGCAAATTCCAGGCAACTTGTTATACTGCTGGTTAGAAAACACTTCAACTTAAACTGATTGTTCAGGTACCATTAGTAAAATTGCACACTTACTGTTACACAAACATCAGATCACCACTTGCAGATCTGTGGCAGCTGACCTGGTCATACCTACTCAATGACTAACTACTCTAAACAAGGAGGGAAAACACCCCTGTGAAGCACTCACCTTGCATGTTCTCAACTGAAAAGAAGGAAAGCAATCAAACAGAGCTCCTTATGTGTGAGATGCACAAAGAGGACCAGCCTACGGGTGAAGTAAGGCAGGGAAATCCACTGCTGTTTCTCCAGGGCTTGGGAAGACAAAAAGGAGTTGTCTATAGAGCAATTTTTGTGAGGAATTCATTCCTTTCTCTGTGTCTAAAATACAAGGAAAAGAAAATGAGGAACCCAAAAAGACCTAAAATATGACATCCCTTCCCTTGCCTTATCCCTTCCCAGATATGCAAATCTATTCACAATCTRTTCATTTAGTAGTACTGAAGTTATTAAGAATGTATAAAAATTTAACTACACATATTTTAAAATCCCACTTCTAGTAAAGCTAGAATAACTATGCTTTGCTCTAGCATAAAGCATTTTACGAGGTACCATAAAGCATCCCTACCATGCACAGACAATGCCTTTGTACCCCAGTATTATACAGAATACTTCRCTAATCCACCTCACTGCTTTTAGTCTGATGATTGGTTCAACAGCTGAAAATCAGCACCAAATCAATTCAGGTGTCCTYGTTAACACCTTCATTCAGGCTGAGCAGTGAATGGAATGGCAACCACACCCCGCTGCCACTGCTCCTATCAGCAGAGGACCTGTGGAAGGCTGTAAGGACAACTGGAGTTCAGGGSATGCTGCAGTAACAGTAACTATAGAAGAGGGTAAGGTAGGGTGGGGCCAGAGGTAACACTGCCCAGGCATCCTCATTTCTACTGAGATCCTGTGTGTGAAGGTAATTGTGGCAATTGAGAAGTGAAAATGCTTATATCTATATTAGAGTTTACGTGTCCCAAGCACAACAACATATCAGGTAGCTAAGAAGTTGGAAATAACCTGAGAGATCAGAATGTTGAGGTGCTGGAGGAGGGTCAAGGCAAAAGAACTTGGTAACAGATCTGAGGAAGTGAAGACCTGTGATGACAAGTAAAAAAAATATATTAAGATTATGTATCTGTTTAACAAATTAAGATACCTGAAAATAGACTGAATACTGTGTAAYAATTCTAATTACTGGACATCTATAAGAGTCTATTAGGGCCAACTAGGGTAGCATCAGAAATAACTATAGGCCCAACAGTGAGACTATCACAATCTACAGACACTCTTGAKACAATAATCATACAATGGCATGGGTTGAAAGTGACCTTTAAGGTCTGCTAGTTCCAAATCATCTACTGTGGGCAGGGACACCTYCCCCSGATCAGGCTGCTCAGAGCCCTATCCARCCTGGTCTTGAACACTTCCAGGGATGGGGCATCCACAACTTCTCTRCTATGTTTTGTTAGACAARTRAGGTGTAAGGGCAGCAAGGTTTTGAGCATACAAACTCTTGTTTGAGGRTATGAAGGATATAAAAATCAGTTACATGGGCAAACCTGACCTTTTTGGATACRATGCATAAAACTTTGGAGAAATAAAGTTCTTATTGCATGATGTAAACCAGTTCTCCCAAGCTAGGTCATAACTGATTGACAAACACCCAGAGCTTCTATTTCCACTTAACAACTAGGAAATTATTTTCAGCAATTTATGGTGTACTACAAAGCTACCAAAACCAAAACCACTCTGTATTTTAGATGCTGCATAAAAAATAGTGCCCTGGGATGTGTGTGGGAAATAACCAGTACTTAAAGTTGGTAATTAAAATTATTAATAACAGCAAAAAAAAGTCCAGTCTCCAAGCAAGTCATCATAATGCTTAATAATTGATTGCAATTTCCTGTAATAAATACTAATGAATTCATTTATAAAGTAATGTAGCTTTATATGTTTATTCACTTTCCTRAGAAATATTTGTGTTGGTGTTATGTCAACAATTTAATACACTAGAATAATTTATTATTATTTATTATTAGTTTCAACATTTCTTAATAAAAAGCAGTTGTTTCACATAAATACCAAAGCAATCTTCAGAGCACATCTGTGTCCCCAGCAAGCACTCAGTCTGGCTTGTGAGCCCTTTTACCATCTGCCATCCTGCAGGGTGAAACTGCACCAGCCAGCTGAATGCCTCAAAGAGCAGAATGAGCAGGCCTGCTGAGAGGACCTTGCCATAACCTGGGAYTTACCAACATCCAGTCTATCTCCAGAGCCAAACATTTCCACTGGGAAGTGATTCAGTCACTCCTCACCMAGAAAATCATCCCTCCATGCTGAGTTAGTAGCTCTGAATAATCTCTCCCACCCCCATACACCTTTCTGAAGTCTGTCCATATACTGCTTCATCTCATAAGACAGCATTCCTCTTCCTCCATTAACTTTGCCAGGGATGCAAATATTTATGACAGCTTTTTCAACTCAGCTGTTTGATTCATCTGTGAAGATGACTGGATCCCACATTAACCTCTTTTGTGCCACATGAGATGTACATCTCCTGCTACACTCACATTCCTGATGTGGAACATTTCTCAGTAAGAGTGGCAGCAATAAGCAGGCTGTGCCCTYTGTGGAGCTCCAGGAATGTGATTGCAGGTGGTTCCTGCAGGGTGAGGAGACACAAATCTGCTGGCTGTGGGCTCAGAGCTAAGGGTGAGGCTCACCTTTTCATTGTGCAMACTGCAAGGGAGATACTGCCCTGTACAGGAAATGCAAAGCTGCAATCCCTGGCTCTAGGATCGAGGTGATTGTGTGACCAGCACCATCCTGCCTAGTACCTGGGATTGAATCAGGACTAGACCAGGTGTTGTCCCTGTAGGCATAGAAGATCACATCTACTATAGCACTAGGAAGGATGGTGGTGAGGCACATGGTAAATAGGCCACATCAAAACTCTCTTTCTAAGCTTGTCACACCTGGATCCCCACTCCTGTCTGCTAGGGTCACCTCAGAAGCCCCAAACTGTACCTGAGTTGCACAGTGGTCTGCATGCCCTTGCCCATGCTACTGTTATGACCAGCTGACATTGTCTTTACAGTACTGTTTTATTTGATTCATCTCCCAGCTGTTCATCTTCCTGATTTATGCCATCAGCACCAAAGCCTGATTAGCAAACGGAACAAAAGGAAGGGGATTTACACTGTCCTTCTAAGTTTTATAAGTGCTGACATGCCTTTTTTATTTCTCTGAACTTGAAATCCTGGGCACACTCACTACCTGCCTGTTTTGTCAGGTATCTCCAGGGYGTTCAACAATAACTACTTGTCCTCTCATTTAAAGGGAATTATGGAGCTGACTCAGAAGATTCAGTACACATRATATAGGTTGTTGTGGGTCAAGGAATAGACCTCACCTCAGCTCAAAGCACAGCAGTCTAATGAGAACTTTCAAGGACACCCCTAGTTGACATGTTCTTGACTCCAAGCAAAAGACAAAGTCCTGGGATGKTAGTAGCCAGGCCTCTTCATCTAAAGAGCAGTGTGACAAGAGCTGGAYATTATCCTAAGTGCCTCCTCTGCTCTTTTAAATGGGCAGGTCTTGATACAACCACCAAGACATGAAGAGTTGCAAAATTTGCCACCTCAAGGTGCCTCAGGGTGGGGGCTACTGCAATGCAGTTGTTGCAAAAAGGAGRAAGCTAACCCCAAGAAGCTCAGACATGGGTTAAGTTTTTATAAATGCAAGGCTGCCATTCTGCTCACACCTTTGCTGGTAATGTGAAGCCCCACAGGCTAAGGTTAAGAGCTGGGCTCCATGGCTGACTCATCTAGCAGACACAGAGCTCCTGTGGACTGTGCTGAAAGAGAAATACAAGGAGTAAAGGGATTAGACTGTATTGCAGGTTGAGAGCCAGGCTTGGTGGAGTGTTAATCTCCAAGAGTATCACTGCCAAAGTCACTTCTTAATGTCGCAGTTCAAGAGACAGCGTCTGTCTTAGGACCCCAGGCTAACCTATTTGATGTCACACTACAAGCAGAGCAGGTGCTGGGTTTGCTATGTATATTTGATGTCTAGTGTTGAAAAGTGAATTGATTGAAATGCTGTCAGGCTGCATTTTGAATGATTGCACTACTAATGTCACCTAGAGGCAACTTGATGGACATTCTGCCATACACAGAATACAGTAGGCTGGAAATCATCATTTGCAAATCATCACCTTTGAAAGTACAACAACCAATTCATCTGAAAAAAAAAAGAACTGGAAACATGTTGAAGAAACATTAACCTGAGGAAGTGMGCAAATCAGGAACACCAAATATTTAGGCTCATGGATTTCTCATTATGGGAGYTTTCAGCCAACTGCACTTCTTTTGGGGTGTTGCATTTCAAAACCTGTGTTTTGTTTGATAATGTAATTCCACCACAGGAAATCTAATCAATTTATCTTCTAAGTTTTTAGTAATATCCATGTGGGATTTTGTTAATTTATGAAATTAATTTTACAAAATCTGTTGCTATATTCAAACATGACAAAATGAGTAGTAGAATACTGGCATATATTTGAAAGGATATGGGGATTTAGCTAACAAATTCACATTTAGATTAATAAKAATTTAGAATTTAAATTCTATAGTTGATCACATAAATCACAGTTTTGACCTGTATTTCCTTGCCCTGATACCAACCTGGATTAGAGTTTATAAACACTCATGTCACAGGATAGAGGTAGGGAAGATTTCCTCATTTTCAGTGTCTACTATTGTCCAAAAAAATAGAATTCTGCAATTAATTTTATATCAATCTGGAGATTAATTTTAGCYATGTGGTAAAACCATTGGCTAATAGGTGCTCTCAGATCCAACATGCCACAAAGAGGAAGAAGCAGGACTAAGGAAACACAAGTATTTCCCCACAGTCATCTGCCATTGTCAGCTTATGTTAGCTAGTCAGCAGTAATGCTGAAGCCTTTCTTCAAGTACTCCTCCATCAGATTTTATGAGAAATTTGGTATGAATTTACTGTGAGTGTATTCTCCTAGAAAACAACAGAAAGTGGGATGCAGGCTAGATGTTCAACTGTTTCATGTAAAAATCCTGTGGGGTTTTTCCTTATACTCTACTGTATTTTTATATATCCCCGAAGATATTGTGCTCTCCTTGAGCATTACAGAATACAGCATCTCATCCAAAAGAACATTTCAAATTCTATATAGATTTGGCACCGCACCAGAGAAACTCTATCCTTTCCACTAACAAATGGGGACAGGAAGCCGTTTTGAATCTGCATAAAGTCACACAGCAAGTTAAAGAGTTCTGTTTCTGCTGAAAACCGAAAGATTCCACATTGAAGCAGTCTGTGCTTTACAGTAGCAAAACCAAGTAGAATCAGGAACAGACTTCTTCTCCAGCCCCTTGAAAACTCACTGCTCATGGTACCATGTGTAGCAGTGAGATGTTCAAGCAGATCCTGCTTTTTGTGAGCAAGGGACATGGAGCAGGGTCATGAAAAGGCCAGACCTTGACTAAAGGCAGGCTGCCTGGGAGCTCTCCTGCTGCACTGCACACATGAATTCTAAATGGGGCCACTCATCAGGGAGCAGAAAAAACAGGGCTTCTCTGAGGAGAGAAGYTGCTGGAAAATGAGCATAACTTGAGTGAAGCCCCACACTGCATGAACAGGACCAGGCTGGTGGCTGTAATGGGGTCCACTGATGGTCCCAGGCTTGGTGAGATACAGAGTCAATGGCAGCATCCTCCCAGGAAGCACAATCAAGAGAGGAGGCTGAAAACRGGTTTGTGATGCAGCTCTAAGGTACACCCAGGATACAGGACAGGAGATAGAGTTACCTTGCAGGGCAGGTGTGGAGTCCACCCCAGAAAGGCAGTCAGCAAGCCAGAGCAATGGATGCTTGGCACTGGAACACAGCTCACTGCCCAAGGCTGAGTCAGCCTGGACCTGGAGGCAGGGGCTGTGGGATGGGGTCTCTGATGAGCCTCACCAGAGCTCTTAAGGCCAGTTAGGGCCTCRTACAACCCAACCTATACTTTGGAAGGAGATGGGAGTCTAAAGMCCTGTTTAAGCAAGAAATGTTGCTGCTTCACCTTTTAATAAAAATATATACTCACTCTTATGCTGAAAGGCTGGCATCTGACCAACAAAAGATCAGGTGTTTTTTCAGCACCTGATATAACCTTCCCTCGTAGGCATGTGTTGGGCCAAAAAAAGTTCTGCTCATAGTGTGATGGGTGGTTGCTCCTCTTACTTTGCCCTTACTTTCAGTGTAGACTGAAAAAAAGCAGCTTAATGAAGAAAAGCTTAAATATATAAATACTTAAATAAGAAATAGACTAAAAAAAAAAGTACACAGGTTTAATTCTTTTTATTCCTTTCTCTAAATTGAACCTTAAACCATTAACTCCTATTAAAAAATGGGTAAAAGTCTTAAATGAGCAAATGCTAGGCTCCTTAGACTGTGTGTCATTTTAAACATAAATAGAATTAATGTCTTCTAAGGGAATCTTTCAATATTTAGAAACTAGTTGGCTGCCTGATTATTGAAAATGTGTATGCACATTCTTATCTTTCACTGATCTGCTCTTTCAACATCRGGAATGGTAACACTCTGGGAATTGTTTACCCAAGATCAGTGTGGTTCAAGTGTTACTTAGGATCTCAGTTAGCCTTTCTTGGGTTTTAAATGTTTAGTCCTTGGRGAGAAGTGAAAATGACAGCAGGAAGAACCCGGGGTACTAAGTCCTGCTGGAGCTGGCACTTGATGACAGCAGGGAATGAACACACCAGGCACTATATTTTATGATAGAGCAAACAGGGAAGTTTGTATTAGATTGTATCAACTTCTGCTGTGTCTTGAGCACATCTGAAAGAAAAGAAACAAACTGCTGAAAGTTACAGGGTACAAATGCAAAAAGAGTGCAAGGAGAACGGGAAGCTGGGAATATGCGTAAAATGGAAATAAACAGTAGGGGGGAAAAAAAAAGACTTGTCACCTCACACATGACAACTATTCTAAGTGATGGCTTTGCAGCTCAGATGGGGAAGAGCTTGTTCCTTTCTCCCTCGCCCCCAGGCCCACCAGAGGGAGACACTTCATCCCGGGGGGAATGGCTTTGGCAGCTGATGATCTGAGCCTCATGTCAGAAAGATGAATAGAGTCATTTTCTCTGAAGTAAAGCAGGCAACACGCAATGAAGGGYAGGGGATGTGGAGGTAGTGAGTAAATCCATCTTTGGTTGGCCTAGAATATTAGAACAGCGTCTGCCACACAAGGAAGTGATGTCCCATAAGAAATGCTAAGAGCCATGGATTTGTGTTTGCAGAAAGCTGACATTAGGTCATTTCAGAGCTGTCAGCCCTCTATGGGCAAACCCATTGATCCATGGGTACAAGCAGCCCTGCTCTGAGCACTTATGCAGAGTTTGGACACACAGACACTGGCCATCATCTTGCTGACCTTGCTGCAGGTAACCTGTTTCCAAGCCTATAGAGATGTTCTGTGAAGTCAGGGTCCTGTCCCCTCGGCAGTGTTACTGAGCACAAGGAGAGGGCCTTTATTTCCTGCTGCCATCACTTGCCATYGATCAAAGCTACAGCAGGGTGATAACCCACTGCAGAACAGAAAGGCTGTAATACACTCTTCCGGGAAGACAAATGCTTTCTGAGGCTTACCTATAGCTATAACATAGCCTTCCATCCATCCATCTGTCCTGGCACATAGAAACAAGTTGGCTTAGTAAGGATTCAACAGCAACAGACAGTTTACTCTCCCTTCCAGATGTGCTGCTGYCTTCCTCAGCAGCTCCAAGTCCTTTTCCCAAACTGCAGCCATTTCTGGGAAATGTACCAGGAACAGCARTGCCTGCCTTTCCTGTGTTACCTTCACAATATAATTGTAAATCTGCAACCCTCTGAGCAGGCCACAAATTCCACAGGCCAAACTGTAAACACTGCAGGAATTGGAGGTCCTTGACATTTCACGGAAAGCAAAGCTGTGAGACTGAGGAAAACAAGCTAAAGGCTAAGTTAAGATACGTCTACCAGCTCCTAAGAAGGATCAGTTCAAATAAGGARCTGCAGTCACAATTTCCTGCTTGATTGTCACTTTCTTCCAGTGAAGAAATAGTCTGCAACTGGCCCTTGTCAGG